AAATGCCCTTTTTGGCGCCCAGCCGAATAAATTCAGTGATGACTCAAGCAGCATATCCTTCCCCAGCTGCAGAGCCGTACATGAGTTGTCGCTTTGGTGACGAACGCACGCCGTAGCTGAGGGCCACCATGTTCTTGCGTTCATGAGTAAAGTTGGGGGCGGCAGTGGCACACAATTTTCGGAAGAGTGTACTTGCGTCCGGCCCGTCCAACGCCACATCGACGTCAAACAAGACCTCAGCAACCGCGAATCCGGCATCCCTCAGGGGCTGGAGGCAATTCAACTGCGCCGTGTTGCCGTCCACTCGCATTGTCGCGGGGAGCTACGAGGACGGCGTCGTGGTTTGTTGGGAGTAGGAACGACTTTCGCCTCCATTGAAAGAGCATCACATTGAATGCTGCGCTGTGCGTTTGTTGCGTGCACAGACAGGAAGTTCAAAGACAAGAAGGAAGAAAAGAGGAGAGAAGAGAAACCGAGAGGGAAACAACACTGAATAATCTTCTGGGCCGCTGGCCGGACTCTGAAATTATCCAAAAGGGACAGGAGAAAAAAAGCGGTAAATGGAGAGGCAATGAGTTCGCCGCAATGTTTCCCCCAAAATATATACACATTCCGTCAATCACCGCCGCGGACTGCTGCGCACAGTTACAAATAGAAACACTTATCCCCCGCGAAGTGGCAGGCCTTTGGGCTCCTCCAACCACAAGAAACCGCCGCTCCCCTTCGCAAGTTCCACCCCTTCGCCAAGTCCTGAAGTGTAAAAACACGACCGCGTGATATGCCATCTGCGGGATTTCTGCAGACCGTACGTAGACAAAGGCTTTCTGTGGTCCGCGAGAGTCCAAAAACTCACATATCCGTTGCAGCTCCCACGTCATGGGGTGTCATTTTGATCTGCCTTTATTCGCCGCTCCTTGCAGCGAAGTGTTGTCCACCCAAACGTCCATAGTGGGTGGCAAGATGGCGGAAAAGGCCGATAAGGCCAAGCGTACCGCGCATGCCTCGGCCTGCATGATAAGAAAAGGTTTCCTCTCCCATTTCCCTCCGGCAATTTTAACGTCGCCGGAGTCTGGAATAAAAACGGCTCCCCATCCATGGAGCGATGCGTCCGTGATGATGGCGGCCGATGCTTTCTCGGTGGGCTTGATGATTCGCTTGCGATTGTTCTCGATGGTGTGTCGCAATCTCTCGCCCAAACCAACCGCTGACGGCGGAATTTTCGCCGGGATGTCTCCAGCACAATTCCCCGGTTAAGTGCGGATAATCGTCGTCGCACTGCCTTGATGAAAAAGTAGTATTCGCATAAACGCGTGCCCAAAATGGCCGCCGCATATAAAAAGCGTGACGCCATAACCTCCATTTCCGCGATGGTCAAAGAATTAAGCGCCGGCATGGCGCGTACAGAGCGGACAAACTTGTCACTCAGGGATACCGCCCGGTGAGTGTGATCAAACTGCACCCCAGGAAGGTGCAATGCGTAGCGCCCGATTCGCGATCCTCCCCATCGTGGCGTGACGGCCATCCGCATTACGAAGCACTTGGCTTCCCACAATGTCGCACCGCTTTTCGACCCTGCAATGCGTATATTGTCGATCCAAACGTCGACACGCACCAATGGAGGTGCGGCCCAGAGAGGGTGAACCACCGTCGTCACCCCCGCAATTGCTGAAGTAATAATCTGGAGAATTTCTGGGCTGGCCTTGTATCCCATAGGGAGACGTGTGAGCTCCACCAGCGTGCCGTCCTCCACGCGGCATCAAAAGAGATGCCGAGTCTCCCGCGGTAAAGAAACTCGGGAAAAGGACGCCTTTAAGTCCAGGCAGTAAGCGGTCTCAGCCATCACAGGCGGCAAACAACGGGAAATGTGTAAAAGAGGAACATTCGCCTCATAAGCGTCGTCGCTGTTCTTGTCGCGTGGCCACGCGATCCATCGTCGTCGTAAACCGGTGATTTCTCCTCCACAACCGAAAAAGGGTGTTATCCATCCGCCTGTAATTGTGGACGAAGCGTCCTCGATTATTCCTGCTTTTCGTAACAATCGCGCGTCAGCTGCTGGAATCCTCCGTGAGCGTCCGCGCGCTTACCGGACAAGGATAAAGGGGAAAGGGCCGCCCAACGAGTCCCCAAACTTGCACGACTCTCTCCAAGGTAGCCGGGTTCAACCGACTCTTGATCCACTCTAGGTTCAATACGGGCACGTTGACTTGCTGTAACGGGATAGCGTGTTCATCTTGTGGAGTGGCCAGACGCGTCCTTGTCGCGCGTCTCTTTATTGTAGCAGCATGATTGTGATTAAAATCATGGAAAAAACGCTCCTCCGTTCTCAACCAGGGTTCTTGCCATTCCGCAGCTTCTCCCTTCACATCAATGCGACCAGTGACGACACCTGGGTCAGCACTGTGGTGTACTTCCCCAAATATCAAACAGTATTCTGGGGAAGGTCGAACGGGTCGGCGTGCTTCGCCAACTGCGAGATCACGTGTGGGTCCAAATCGTATGTCTCCACGATTGGAGCAGCGTGTCTCAACGCACCCTGTTTTATGGAATGCGCCGTGGCATCCCAAGGAGCCAAAGCTCGTTCGACTTGGGCAGTCGTAAGATTCGTGAGCTTTTCCTTCTCTTGAAGTGTCCTGCATAGCTTTATAATGTCGAAAGCGTCCTGCCCTCGTACCCTCAGGAACCGCGAGGCGCGGTGGGGATCCGCTTTCGCCGTCTTCGGCGCCACGGACCAGTCCAAAATTAGGGCCCCGTCCGCCTTCAGTGTGAAATTTTTGGGGTTAAGGCCGCAATCTCAAACCAACGACTCGCCGTTATCCACGCGAGTCGTAAGACAACACGTTCCTTCCAATCGGTCCGGCTGCGGATTACTTGATGCATCCCTTCCTCTGTCACGGGGCGCGCCTGCCTCGTCTCCGATCGCACCGCAACTTTTTGTAACCTCAAAGCCGCCATATCCAGCGGGGTTCGATCCATTTCCAACATGGACCGCAGCATCCTGGCGTACTGCAGTCGGGTCGATGGCGCCACTTCGATTGCCACCAAAAAGGCCGCACAGCTCTCCTCGCTGGTCGGCTGTTCGTGCGTGCGGCAAAAAGTCGTGAATTTCCTCGCTAGGGACATTCTACGCTCCCACGTTGACGGCGCCCACATCTCTCGAGTGACCTCGTTTGCTTTCCTCATATAACTGGCCCAAAGCGGAACCGCCGGTGTTTCTTCGTACCACAGTCGAGCGTCGTTGGCGGATAAGCTCCGTCGCCCTTCCCGACGATTTCTTCGGGCAATTTGAAAGATCGGGTGGAGCATCGACGGCGCGGTGCGCTGCCTGTGAGGATTGGTGGGAGGTGGCGGGTTGGATGGGGCTCCCGTCGTCAGCATTCATGAGCGGCGTACGGCAGCCCCTCCGCCGTTTTTTGATGGACGCCTGTGTTGTGAGTAATTCCCTCTGGGGCGCACATTGCATGTAGATGCCTCGTGTCCAAAGATATGACAACGTTGGCATCGCACAGTGCGTTGGGTTTCTCGCCGATCGACGAGAGGCTGGGCTTCCCTCACATAAGCGTCCGTCTGGTGAACAGCGGTGTAAAGACGGGCGCGCAGTTTGGAAGGCCGGATGCCGGGATCGGATGCAATCGTGAGCTGCATCCGGAATGTATTCAGTAGGGACCTCCCCAAATTCATGATTCGATCGGTGGGATCCTGCAGGCCTTCCAGCACGCCGATCCACTCGACCAAATTGTCAAAGGCAAGTTTGACCTGCTCGTTGTCCTGTTGCCAGCATTGGTATGCGCACAGGAGATCGAAAACGATCCGCCCAGTGCAGCACCCTTGTGGGCAAGATCTCGCGAAATTCCTCCAAGCAGCGGATAGTTCCGGGTTGTTTGGTGTCCAGTGTGTGAACACACAAACAGATAGTGACAGAGAGTGTCTCTGACTCCCACCATTCATAGCTGCAAACAAAAATTTAGACCACAGCGTGTGGTGCAGCAGCCGCTGCAACTTGGATAATTCGACACGTTGTCCTGTATCCAACGTCCGGGGCCACCGCCCTACCATTTTTTATTTCTTGCAGCGGCCAACCCCGGCAGTAAGGACAAAAAAAAGAATCGCGTTTTCTTTAATGTTTTTCCTGTTTGGGGGCGGGGATCTTTGTTTTCTATGATTGTCTCTTTTTTTTGTCTGTTCCAGGTTGGTTTTTAGGAGGCTTGATGTGCCTGCTGGGTGATCGCCGGCTTTTTTATTGGTGATTGCGTATTTTTGGCTTACCGGTGTGCCGCTCAGCGCCATTTTGTTTTACTTCTTTTCCGCTTATTGGGGCGTGTTGTTATTCGTCACGCGTCAGCACACACCGAGCAACATGTCAAAAAAAAACAAAATGCAGGCTTTTTCCCCCCTCGCGAGGGCCTCCGCAGCCACAATCCTGTGCGTGCGTGCATTCTCAGCGTTTTAAACACGGCATGTGGGAGTGCATGTGCTTGTGTGTTTGGCAGCGCCTATACTTGCGGAGCAGCTGTGCGCCACAAGAGAGTCTGAAGAAAGCAACGGCAGAGAGAGGCAGATAGCACACACGCAAATTACTCATATCATCACACACACACACGCAGCCGCGGAATGGGTGCACTCAACCACAAAATCAAAAAGGAAAGCAAAACAAAAAGCCGCAGCGTGGGACGACCAGCGCACACACACTCTCATTGCTCCCGTAAAGCAAAACACACACACACAGAGAGAGAGTGAGGTCGCCCACTCAATGCAATAAAAACAAAACAGAAACAGTTACGGTGCTCCGCCCATGCAGCCAGGCAGGACGGCAGCGGTGCGTGTCGTGCAAAAGAGAGCACCAACGGGCCTGCATGGGTGTGCATGCATATATACAATGGGCACATTATTGTGTGTGCTTCGTGGGGTGAGGTGAGGGCGAGAGTCCATGCAAGGGGACACACACACAGAGAGAGAAGGAAGAGTGTGTGTGCGGGCGGTGCACGGCTCTCTCTCCCTCACTCTCACGCGGCCACCACCGCAGCAGCCGCACACGCAACAACAAGAAGAAGCAAAAGAGGGGAGGTGGTGTGGGAGACCGCGGTGCTGCTGTCACTGTCTGCTGTGGTCTCTGTATTGCTTGTTATATTGGTGGCGTTGTTTGCTGCCGTGGGCACTTCACTGTTGGCTGCTGCGGTTTCGGTTGTGCCTGAATCGGCATCAGGGTTGGTTTTGGAAGCATTCTGCTCCAAGTCTTCGGTGGGTAGCTTGACGCCGTCCTTTTTGTATTTACTCGCATCATGAGTGGTTGTCGTGGTGGTCGTGTCAGTGTTGTTCCATACAGCTGGTGAAGCTGCAAGGCTGCTGCCACCACTGTCGCCATTATTCTCCTTTTTTGTGTTGGTAGTGCTGAGTGCTGTTGTGGATCCTGCGCTGTCAGTGTCGGCAGCAGTATTGACCTGCGGTGCGCCGCCATTTGAAGAGGTGTCCTCATCAGCAGAGACCGGAGTGTTACCACTGGCGGAGTCAGGCTGTGCAGTTCGACTTTTGCTGCCATCGTTATCATTTGACGTATTCGGCATATTATCTCTTTGCACTGTGCCACCGCCTCCACCAGGGATCTCTGCTGAACTCGCCGTCACGGTTGCATTTGGTGGTGAGGGTGAGGATGAATGTTCTGCTGGCATCGTAATTTTGGGTTCTTTTACTGTTGCTGGATCTGGCGGTAATGTTTCTACATCCTGAGGCCTTTCCTGTACTTCCTTTTTTTCCCGAGTCTTATCCACTTCTGAGGGAGCAGGACTCCCGCGGTCTTGAGCTTCATGGTGTTCGTTTGGGCCGACAAGAACGGAAGGAGAATCAATTACAACTTCAGAACCCTTATTGCACATTGGCGACTTTGTTAAATCATTCTTGCAGGTCTCTCTCTCCGGCAAAGTCGCTGAATCACGAATACCATCATCCTCTAAAGGTTTTGGGCCTTCAACATCAGTAATTTCTCGCAAATCATTCCCCTTTTGGGGGTCAGGTGCAATTATGGATTTTTCAACTGCAGGTTCAGAAGAAGAGTTAACCACCTCCGCCACCACCACCATTGCAGCACCGCACCACAGCACGCAGAGGGCACACACCAGCAGCACACGGCCAGTCATCATCATCGCCATCACTCCTGTCACTTGTGTGTAGCCTTCAGCACAAACTAACAACACGTCAACGCAGAGTGAAAGGAAGAAAAGGAGAGACAAGTCACACAACCACGCACGCAAAGTAAACAACGACAGCAGTCCTGCAGAAGCACGCACACCGACCTGCAAAACCGAAGCAAAAAAGCAATACCAAAACAATAAAAAAAGAAGTTGATTGTCCAACAGGAGTCCCTCCTCCAAAAAAAAAAAAAAAAAACATACCTCAGCAGAATTAGCATTTCATACGCCATGCAGCAAAACAGGTCTGTGTCTATATATACATGAATACGGTGCCTGCATGAGAAAAAAAATATTACTGTTCCATCAGCCCACGCAACGCTCCTCACATTTCATTGCGGCATCCGGCCTGTCTCTCCAATCCTCCCTTCGTGAAGTCCGTGGGACGCACAGCAATGAGGCCGGCACCGCGTGTGGGCAAAAAAAGCAAACAAAAGAGGGAGAAGCACGTCATTCATGACAGTGTGCAGCAGCCGAACATTAAATAAGCAAAGGATAATTATTATCCCAAACAAACAACATTAAAAAGCACATAAAAACAGAAAAAAAAAAAAGAAAACCCGCGGTGAACGCGGCACATATTCTGTGTGAGAAGTCGCAAATCCTCACTCCGTGGCTCAGAATTCTGCCACAACTCCACATAGACCCAAAAGCAGAAGCAGCAGTGGTTTCTCCACCCACAAGAAGATAATTTTGCCGCTGCTCACCGTCGGCAAGGACATGTCACTTTCGAAAAAGATTCCTCTGCTCGCTTGGATCCTCTTTTTTTAAGGGAGATGTGCTCTGTGTGGCGCTGCTGCACGCACTGCTGTTTGTCGGCTCCTTGGCGGAGGAGTCGGGTGCTCGAAGACCATGGATGCTGTCCCGTCGCTGCACACATCGGTGGTGTTGGGCGTCGTGAGGTCAGGACTCAAATATTCCCACATTCCTCCGGAATTATTCGTGCCATCGTAATCCGAGCAGCTTTTCGCTGCAAAATCGCCGACTATCGCATTGAAAGCCTCCTCTTCCGTTAGATCTCGACTGTTCGGTTTCTTATCAGTACGACACGCAGTCCAGCTGCTCTCGCCGACTGGGCGCCAGTGCACACCGGAATCATTGCTCCCACACGCACCATACAACCATCGCCATCTTTCTTCGCGTACACGTGCGAGCAGCAGCAGCAGTAGTAGTAGTATTAGAGTTGCTGAATTCGATGAGCAGATCTGCACACCAAGTGGAGAAGAGAAGGGCAAAAGAAAAATACAAAGAGGTGCAGACAAAATACACACACATCGTCGCAGCGTCGCCGTTGCGTGCGCGGTAATGATGCGACCTCCCGCGGCAGGCACAACTCGCACACTGCACGCACCGCAAAACGGCATCCACACAAGAAACACACACACACAACGACAGAACAGCCAACAAAAACTAGAAGGGGGAAAGAACCACAATCATCTCCCCCTAGTTGCGCAACAAACGGCCCTCCCTTTTTACGCGAGGCAGTTGCCGCAAGCCTGCCATCGTTCCGCTGCACGCTCTCAGCGCCCACAGTGGGATCCAGCACATCGTACAGGTGAAAAACGAAACTTCTCTCACTCCCGTCGGGAAAAAAAAAATTACCGTGACGACAACAACAACGGTGCAAGGGTGTCGCGTAGGATGATACGATGGCGTTGTTGGCGTCCAGATAAATGACGCGTACCCTCGGAAATACGCGTGGAAGATACTGTACGTAAGACTGCAGAGTTGTGTCCGCAGATAAACGGTATTCGGAGCCAACCCTCTTTTTCTCGGTGGAAAAGATGGGTCAAAAATTTTGTCAAAGAAGCAAAACTACAGAAGGCAGGGTAGAGCAAGGTACCGCACAAGGGACACAAATATTTGACTGTCTCATCCCTGGAGAAGTACAACCAACCTGGCCGGGGTTATCTCGCTCCCTGGCGATGGCACATTCAAAAAAAAGACCCACAGTATTGAGGGGACTCAAAAAAGCCCCAAAGTGCGTGCTGCGACTCCACAAGAATGTGGACGGTCTGCATGTGTCCATGCAAGTCACAGTCGATAAGCGCATTATAGGGGATGCTGCTTGAGTGCGCCAAACGACGGTTACTGCCTCATGCCACATCACAGGCAGGCCGTCCCTCATCAATCCCTGCAGGATTCGCTTACGCTCCTCCAAGGAGTACTGGGGGCATCCGTTGGGCCGCATGCGGATTGCACCATCTTCCACAAAGAGTCTATTCAATAAAAGGCCGCGGTTAAACAGCCCGTCCACAACAATCGTCAAGGGACCGCCACCCACCGCGTGCTGAGGTGGAAAACGCACGCGATGAATACGTCTCCGGTAGGTTTCATCGCAAATACACAACCGCTATTCCCTCCGTCACTGTGTTGTCATCACCGCAGCAGCAACGCACCAGTGCAGGCCATGTTGGGTATGATGGGAGAGAAAGTCCCATTCTCCAAGCCATTATGTCATCAAGAGTCAGACGGCTGCTCTGCCATGGCGATAAAGTGTCCCATCGGGCGCAGCAGAATATCAGAGTCCAGCTGATTGGAAGGCTCGGGTGTCACCCCGCCAATGAGAGAAATGCGCGCCACCACGCGAGGCTCCGCTGGCATTCCCGCCTCCATATTGTGTTCCCTCAGTAACGGACTCTGCGTCAGCAGCAAGTGAGGCAAACTTCGGTTTGCTCCGCCTGAAATTCCCCCGGCATCTGCTCAATTCACCGCCATGGAAAACCGGCGATGTGCAGCGGCGGAGCATTTGATCGTATCAGCAAACAAATTGGAGAAAAAGGGCTCAAACACACACACAAGACTCCCAGCAAGAAAAAAGGGAAACACGGCGTGACTAACACGACTCAAAGTCATGTTTCTAAGACAATGCGTGGATGACTCCGTCGACGCCACACCCGCAACATATGCCATCAACGCCTCCACGGCAAAAACAAACTGGCAAGAAGGCCTGAGATAAAAACGCTTCGAGAGAGCAAAAACGCCACTGCAGCACTGCATCCCTCACAACGTCGTCAATCGGCCTGAGGCCTGTCGTCTCGAATACACCTAGCGTACACCGTTCTTCCGGCACTTTTGTTGAAGGGCGGCCATCCACCAGTAGCGATCCGTCGGTCACACGAAGAGTGCAGGCAACAGGCATGTCTGTCGCACCCTCCATCACCCTCACAAAGCGTCGAATTGTCGTTGGCAGGAGTGATGTTGTTTCTGCTCCACGCGTCTCCATCCCCTGGGAGAAGAGACACGCCGACTGCTGCCACCAGTTCCTCCCCCATCGCCTCTCTCTTCCTCCACAAGCCCAAGATACTCCGCAAAGTTGCTCACGGCAGTGTCTCCACCGTTCTGAACGTGAAACGAATTGAACTTGTTCTCCTTGAGACTCAAAGCAACCAAAGCAAAAGCGAGCCGGACATCCAACGGCTGCACTGGTCCAACCCCACAAAATTGCACCAAGTACACAATGACAGGACCACGACGGCGACAATGCAGAAAAAAAGGGTCCACTGCGGAGATTAGTTTGTGTTGCACACAGTTGCGGTGCCACTGGAATTATTGCACCGCCAAAAACAAAAACAGTAATCCTGCAGCGTGCGGAGAGGACGTTTCACGAGCGCATTATTGGCGGAGCCAAACAACTGTACCGTCAGCAGATGGCAACGGTCGGCGGGGGAAAGTGAAGGTGGTGGGCCTGTTGGGGAGGGTCGATGCGCAGTGTCCCCACAAATACGAGGCGGGTGAAGTGAAACACACTCGTCTGAACGTCACCGGCCACCAGGATGCATGCCTCCCCGCTGTGAATATTGATGAGCTCGAGCCTGGAGCAGCTACTCGCAATGCGTGAAAGCGTCTTCCTGCACTGACGCTGCAATTCACATTAGACGGACAACTTCAGCACAGTCGATCCCCAGCAGTAAAATGCAGCTGGCGGTGACGCTGTGGATTATCGATTCCCCGGGCAACGGAGAGCGGAGAAGAAAACTGGTCTCCCCAGCTGCGCGGCATCCATCCATCCACTCTGTGCGCTCGGAGTGCCCCGCAGCTGCCTTGAGAGGTGCAACGGACAGACCTCCCTTATTTTCGCCCCGATCCGTCGACGAAGACTTTCGCGGAGGCGTCGGCACACACCGAAGTCTCCCTCGTGCCCGCCAAACAAAAGACACACCCGTTGAGCATCGTCACGTGCATCGACGGCCACGCAAGTAAATATCCACCGCAAAGCAAAGTATTTCTTATTGGGCACCAACAGAAAACTGGAGGCGGCGGCCTGGACAACACAGACATCAAATCACACGCCAGGCAACGCTGAAATACATGCGAAAGGGCCAACGCGGGAATAGCCGCACAACCACTCGAGAGCTGCTGCGTGAACTCCACGGCAAATGGATCAGCCTCAACGCATGGGGCACTAATTACGGCCGGTGACAGCGCGAAAGCCAACGGTTTCGCAAGGCCGGGAATTGTGAGGACGGCATTCAAACCCTCCTGGGATTCGTGTACCAAGACACGCAAACAATCCACCTCTCGGTGCAAGTCGTCACCATAATCCTCATCGCTCTCTTTGCCGTCATTCGTGTTTTCACACTCAAAACCGTTGAGGGAAGGTGCTGCCATGATGATTGTGACATCACACTGAATGAAACAACGCAATGCCTCGAAGTGGGCCGAGTGCAGGCATCCCGTCAGGCAGCGACACGCCGCACTCCTGAAGAAAGCCGATAAAAGACCGTAGAAAAAGCTTTCATCCGCCATCGTAATATCGTCCAGCGGGTGCGGCCTCTTCTGCTCCTTCGGTACCTCGTCCCTCTCCAAGACACCAGCTGCCGCTGCCGTAGACCACGCTCCTGCCGCAATCACTCCCACAGAGAGACAAGGAAGAGTGTGTGGATGTGTGCCGAGAGCACAGCGACCGTCATAGGAGGCCATCGTGGCACCGTCCGTCACGCGTCAGCACAAAAAAGGCA